TTCTTCTTCTTCTTGTGCCATATCCGTTATCGGACGTTGGCGATCATGTTGGCGATCCTGTTTTTATCAGCAGCCGCACGAAAAAGTGCTGCTGAGTTTTGTCCAAACCAGTCCCTTAGATTTTGAAGCCACGATGTTCTTCTTCTGCCTGGACCTCGTTTGCCTTCAATCTTTCCCTGGAGGATTAAATGGAGTATGCTGTATTTTTCTGGGTGTCGCATCACATGTCCAAAATATTCTAATTTTCATTTTTTAATTGTTTTGATGATTTCCCTTGGCTTTCCCAGGCGGCTTATCACCTCCTCATTTCTGATCTTGTCAACCCAGCTTATACGTAACAGCCGCCTGTAAATCCACATTTCAAATGCTTCTAGTCTCTTCAGGTGGCCTTCTGTCAGAGACCAACTCTCTAATCCAGGGCTTTTCAACCTTTTCACCCATTGTACCACTTTTAGGATATGGCAATATCCGAGTACCACCAGTCACCTAGCAAGGTGTCAAAAACTTGATGATAAAAAAAGGAAAAAAGTGATGAAGTACAGCTAGTCCTCGACTTACAACAGTTCGCTTAGTGACTGTTCAAAGTTACAATGGCACTGAAAAAAGTCCCCCCCCCCAAGCCACAGCCGAGCAAGACACCTGCCTGCCCACCCGGTGGCACTCTTCCTCCTATCCGAGGTTTTCATTGTTGTGAGCATTTCTGTTGAGAATTGGCAGTGGGGGTGGCGTGGGGGGTTGTTTGGTTTTTATTCCCCCTGTCTGCTGGGTGGTTGCAGCAGGTTTTGATCACTTCACATGACCCTGGGACACTGTGACCGTCATAAATATGAATCAATTGCCAAGCATCTGAATGTAAATCACAAGATCGTGGAGATGCTGCAACATTCCAGCTGATCGGCGCTTCTTCTGGGCTCAGCGGAAGCACCAGGATCAGCGCCGAGCTCCAGCTGGAGCCTGGCGCTGGTCCTCATGCTTCCACTGAGCCCTGACAGCCCCGAAGAAGCGCTGATCCTGGCGCTTCCGCTGAGCCGTGACAGCCCTGCAGCTCCAGCCATCTCTCAGGCTTGTGCAGTGCTGCCACTGGTTAAGCTCATTCCCCTCCCCCGCTACCACTTTTCTAAGATGGTCGCGTACCACCTGCCAGGTGCCAATGTACCACAGGTGGTACCCGTACCACTGGTTGAAAAGCCCTGCTCTACTCCATAGAGCAGGATAGAAAAAATATAGCATCTGACAAGCCTGATTTTCAGTCTTAGGCTTATGTCGTGACTGCAGAAGATCTTTTTCATTTTGAAGAATGCTGTTCAAGCTTTTTCTATCCTTGTCTTTACTTCAACGGGCATGTCCCAGCTTTCATGTAAATTGGAACCGAGGTGCGTGATCCTTTCGACTTTTTCTAGTGGTATTCCTTCTGAATTTATTGGTGGTAAATTAATGGGTTGTTTGCTGACGACCATGATCTTGATTTTTGAGGTGTTAAGCTCAAAAACTGAATCACTACAGTTGTTAATTGAGTAACATGGTTCTTAAGTAAATCTGGCTTCCCCATTGACTTTGGTTATCAGAATGTCACAAAATGTCACATGACCCAGGACACTACAACCGTCATAAATATGAGTCAGTAGCTAAGGAGCTGAATTTTGATCATGTGACCGTGGGGATGCTGCAACGGTCATAAGTGTGAAAAACTGTCATAAGTCACTTTTTTCAGTGCTGTTACACGTTGGGATACTGCTGAACAGACATAGGAAAGATTTAAGACATGAAAGAGATCAACATTTGCATACCTCTGACTCCATCTGTCCAATTGCGCTGATTCTAAGCTCACATGAGTAGAGTAAACCTTTGTTCAATATTCTGGTTGTTTAATATTAGGATTCTGTCTTTACCCTGAATATCACCAAACTCTCCTTATCTGTACTTCTTAGAGCATTCATGCCTCTAACTTGGATAATAGGTTTGGAAAACATCCTTCCCTGTCCCAAGAGTGCCCTGGAGGCAACTGGACTTTCTTCTTTTTTCTTTGAAGATGTTTCGCTTCTCATCCAAGAAGCTTCTTTAGCTTGGACTGGATGGTGGGGAGTGGAAGGGTTTATATTGCTTGCAGACAGCTGGTCATTTGCATTCTTTTAGAGACCCTTCTCTGTCTTATTCCAGATGTTTCTGATTTGGGTCTTGCATTAGCTTGACACAAGCTGATCTATTTTAACCAACCATATACTCTCTAGAGTATATATTGTATGGAAAGTCTTAATTTAGGGTCTCTGCCTCCCTAATTTGAGTTAAACTGTATCTTAAAAAATTAAATCTAATGTAAGATTAATATTTTAATGGTGCTAATAATGAAGAGGGGAGGTGGAAGACTGCAAGCCTAGCCTAAAAGCCACAAATGAGAAAGCAGTGTAGTTATAAACTATGCATGTGCTATGAGGACAAACAATAAGCAGATCTGCTTTTTTTTTTTTGACCTTGCATGATGGAGGCAATAATGTAGGAAGCTCTTCGTGAGCAAAGTAACACAATGCAGCACACCCTGCCTTTCTCTCCTCAACATAACCCAGTGCTGTTCTTCTGTAAACTCTGGCACTGGACTGACATGTTACAAAGTGCCCAGGCTTGCATTTACTGTGTTAAGAGAGGTACAATGGGCTTATTATGTGTTTCCAGCAACTGAGGGTGGTCTGTAAAATTAATGATTGTGGCAGCTGCAAATTAAGTGAGCTCCCTAATATGTACTGTTGTTGATCCACCAAGATCAGTGTGTTTAAAATTCCTTGGTGGGAGACTAAATCTTCATAGCCATTTCACAAGTGATGCTGGCGCCCACTGCAGCAATGTACGCAGGTCTGTTTTATGAGACCTCCTTGGATACCAGGATTTTCCTGCTTTGATTGGCAATTTCATAACCAACTCAGCATCTCTGTTAAATGTTCTGTAGCTTTATGTGGCAGGTGCATCGTGGAACCCCTTTAGGTTCCTTCATACGTTAGACTGTTTGGATGTACCTCGACTTACAACCATTTGTTTAATGACTGTTCGAAGTTACAGTGGCACTGGAAAAAAGCGACTTATCACCGCGTTTCATGCTTATGACTGTTGCAACATCCCCATGGTCATGCAATCAAAATTCAGATGCTTGGCAGCTGGCGTGTATTTATGACGGTTGCAGTGTCCTGGGTTCTCGTGATCACCTTTTGCAGCCTTCTGACAAAGCAAAGTCAATGGAGAAGCCAGATTCACTAACAGCCGTGCTACTAACTTAACAGTTGCAGTGATTCATTTAATAACTGTGGTGGGGAAGGTTGTAAAAATGGGGCAAAACTTACTTAATAACTGTGTTACTTAGCAACAGAAATTTGGGGCTCAATAAGTCAAGGACTACCTGTACTGCTACTGAGGGTCAGAGTAATCACTGCAGATCTCCACCATGTACAGATGGCTGCATGCCTTGCAGCAGTCCATGCATGGAAAATAATAGAGGCCAATTTGTATCTATCTCACTGTATTCTCATATTAAATCTTGTTTCCCAAGGGCTTCTCACAACCATTCATGTTTCCAGTAAGTTTCCCTCTACCAGAATTCTGATCACTGCCTATTTTGTCTGGGATGGCTACATATTAGAGTATAATTTAGGGAAAGCTGATCTGTGGCAAATTATCACCAGCTGCCATTAGCATTAGAGAACTCATAAGTTGTATAGGTCATTTTTCAGGTAGCGGCCTAGATTGGAAAAGATTCCCCAAAACAAATCTCTAATTTCTGATTAGTAAGCTTCATTAAGTTTTCATATGGGTAAATTAGGATTGGAATGTTCTGCTTCTTTTTCCTGCATGCTTTCTATGTAAAGGGAGCAGGCTGTATGAAGTTGAGGTAGAGCCTCAGTCTCATACAAAATGTACAAAAATACCAAAATAGGTAGAGCTATTTTGGAAATAGCTGTTAGGCTCTGAAAATCAGCTTTCTCACTGTAGAGCTTAAATGTTTCTACTCTGAAACATTCCTTAGAGAAGCTTGGGAGTAGTACGAATGTTGAGGAACGGCAGGCAACTTCAACTATCAGCTTCCAAAAGACAAAAAGAAGACAAAATAAGTTCAGGTACCACATAATAAGATTGGACTGAGGTATCTGTGGTCCTCCAGGCATTATTGAATTGCAGCTCCCAGAATCCCTGATGTTGAAGGCATGCCAGTTGAGGTTTGAAGGGCAACCATTTGTCTGCTTCTGTTCCACAGAACTACACAGCCAGTTACGAAAGTGTAACATTTCAAGTTCTTAGTGCATTATTACCAGTTTTGGAAGAGTTTGTGCTGTTCTGTTTTTGTTAAAACGTATAGAAGATTTGCAACTATATCTCAAAGGATTGGCTTTGCTGAAGGGAATCTGGTCTGACAACATATGCACATAATTATGTTTTCATTTGTGTGCATTTCTGTGTGTGTGTACCTGGCCTCATGTTTGCCAAAGCACTTACTGTTGGCTTTTAACAAGTGCAGCTTCACCAGTAAGCTGGCTTTCGTGGAAAAGAAAATCAACTCCAACTTTGCATTTCTCTCCCTTAGATCCTGTTTCAGCTCTAGATCTGGGGCAGCAGCTCCAATTGAAAGTCCAGCGCATGCACGATATTGAAACTGAGAACCAGAAACTTAGGGAAACCCTTGAGGAATACAACAAAGAATTTACGGAAGTGAAGAATCAAGGTAAGCTGAGATGTGCATCAGGGAAGATTATGTGCAAGCCCAAAAGCTTTCCTCCACTTCAAGAGCATATTGCTCTTAAATGTTCTAACGATTAACCAGTTTTAACTAAGTTAATATTTAATGAAGAACAACTAAAACTCAAAATTCTCAAGGATCATGACCAAGAAGCAAGGATCAAGGATCCTTGACCAAGAAGCAAAAGGAGTTTGTCAGAGGGGAGGAAAGTAGGGGCAGGCTTAATTTTTGGGTGAAGTTGAGATTCCCGCTTGGTAATGCTTTAGGCCCCTTTTAGTTTAGATTCAAAGTATGACCTCAATTTAAATCTGTTTCATAGTCAGAATTAAATTGTTGTTGTTTTTTTAAAAAAAATATAGGTGCTTTTTTTAACATTCTGGAAGCCAATATTAAGACAAACTCGGTGCATTAATTTGTACCTTATGATTCCAGCAACTTCCTTCAGTACAAAATATGTGTTGTTCACAACAAAAGCTAAGTGATGCACCATTTTCTCTCCAGAATAATCTTGTGATGCTACTTCTTGCAACCTTCACTGTAGTTACAGTTTGTTTATCCCTAGGGCAGAATGCAGATAGTGAAGTAATGTAGGTTACTTATTTAAGTGGATGGGCAAACTGTTGAAGGTGTCTGCTGTACATGGAAAGGCCATTATCTCGTGGAGTAAGCACTCATCTCCCCAAATTGCTCCAGGTTTTGTTGGAGGAGGGGGCTGAAGGGGAACTGATGAGCACATATGTACAGTATATGTGCCTTTGCAGTAAGCCATACCCTGAACCAGCAATGAGAAGAGAACACATTCTGGGGAAAAAACATTCTCTCAGTAGGCCTGGGGTTGCCTGAAAAGTGTCCAATTCTGGTCATTATGAGGCTTGAGAGTTTTCAATTGCAAAGTTGAGTAACAATTTTAAACATTTAGATCTGTGATCAGATATCAAGAATAGCGAGTCTACTTCAAAGCATTACCTTAATTCATTTTTTTCACAAGGAATGCAGCTTTATAACATCAGAGATAATGGGAGTAACCCCTTCCCAATAATTTATGTGTGTTTGTGTTTTAACATTTCACACCCTCTCCATCACACATAATAATTAGCAACTTGTTCAGCTGAAAAAAGCAATAGTTTGAACAGTGTAGATTTGTAACTGCCTGTCCAAGTAAAAGAATTCTTCCAGTTGCTGATAAAAGCTAGGCAGAGGAAAGGGAATAATATAATGGATGCCCTGGAACAAGAAAGTCTGCTCTGCTGTCTGGTGGATTTTCCCCTAAAAAAGAAAGGGCACCGGGGGGGGGGGGACCTATCAACCATTCTTATACCCATTCTGACAAATAACACCCATTTGGAAGAATAGGCTCACAGGACTGTGGCATTCACTTAATGACCACAGTGATTCACTTCACCACCACCAAAAAATGTCATAAAACAGAATCTGGTCGTGTGGGTGCCTCAGCTTACAACGGTAGCGGCTTACGACTGAAAATCCAGTCCCATTTATACAGTCATTGATAATATTACACGGTATCTCTGCCGTTTCATTTTTCTGTGCACTCACATTAGAAAAGCGTGTGCTATGCTTCCTGACAAAGTCCATTGATCCTGCTCAAACCTCAAACATTTAAAGTTCAATTTAGCATTTAGGGAATAAAAATCTCCAAAGGGACTCATAGCCATTGATTTTGTGTCAGGGTTGAAGAGCTAAAGTTTTAAGTCATGCTGCTGCTGCTGCTACTGCTGCTGCTGCTGCTGCTCTTGCCGTTGTACTGCAAGGCAGGAAGAATTGTACTGCACAACCAGGTGTGGTGGCTTGTTACTCATTTTCTTTCTCTTGTTGGCTTGTTTTTTTTCTCCCTCTCCTCCTCCCCCTCCCCACAAAAAAAGAGGTGACAATAAAAGCACTTAAAGAGAAAATTCGGGAATATGAGCAGACCCTGAAGAATCAAGCAGAGAACATTGCTCTTGAAAAAGAACAAAAGTTGCAAAATGACTTTGCTGAAAAAGAAAGGTAGGTTAACATACGTGTGCATACAAATAACAGCAGTTGTTGCTTGGCTGGCTTGGCACCAGCTGGCAATGGATTAAAATACACCCACCCACTCTGGTCCTTTCTACTCGTTTCCCCCTATCCCTTTTTTAAAGTCTGACTCTGACTTTAGCATCTCAAATAGAGTGTGAAATCAGTATGTATATCTCCAACTAGTATTATTGTGTTAATGTGACAATTACAATTACTATATGTAGCATATTTGACGTCTTTAGGAATATTCTGAGCATTTTATAGAAACTCCCCTAAATATTAATAAAACAGAAAATTTGACAAGGCAGCGAAAGGCCAGAGTTGTGATGGAATCAGGCAACCCATGTCTAATACATAAGTAAATAATCAACCAGCAAACAATTATATTACATTTGAAAAGTTTGGTAAATTAGCACATTTCTAAAAATTAAATTTGAATATGTTGGGAAATATAATTTTCTGGAAATATGTTCTAAATCTGTCCCCGTCCCTGTTTGATCTTCATGTCCTGAGTGAGGATCCAGGATCTTTGGTTTTAAAATTTGTAAATCAGCTGGCTGTAGCTCAGTATCACGGCATAAATGTTTGCAAAATTAACTCTGTTACCCTGAGCTACAAGTAGGCTGAACCATTGTGGCTTTTATGTGATGGCCTCTTTCCCTATCCAGGCAACCAGCCTCTCCCACTTAATTACTTGGCCATTAGGGCTTCATGTTGAACTCCCGTGAGAGGTGGGTGGCACATTGAGATGGCCTCATAATAAATGCCAAATGATGTGGAATTTCTACGCAGTAAATCTGGTGGAACATTTTGAAAGCTTGAGCTAAAGTGCGAACAATGACTCTGAACTGGCTCTACTTTTGATTGTTCAGAGCAACCCAGTTTTAAAAAGAGAAGAACTCTCCAGTATACATCAGTGAAACTTTTTCAGATGCCGGGCTCATTGCACTGACTGGCATGCTGAAGGCTGAATGCCCAATACCAGAACAAAGAAGTGGGCAGAATGGGGACAAAAACTGAACATTATTTAGTTAAACTTTTGGTTGAAGACAATTAATGAAATACAACTTAATATAAGTACATCAAAGTTGCTGTTTTCCCCTTCTGCCTTATTAAAAATTAAAATTTTAAAGAGGTGCTCTGGGAGAGTTGTGCACTTCCTCTATTGCCCATGGGCCATTTCTATGGACTTTTTGTCTCTTTGGTTAACCTTTTCCACAAAGATTTACCATGAGAGCCTCTTGCAGAAGCTGTGAGAAAATATGCGGGTGTAGGCTTTCCTGATGGCATCAGTGAAGCAGTGATGACTATATGGGCTAAAAGGCCATGGCCTATTTTCCTAGACTGCATCTATTCAACCCAAAAGCTCAGCACTGCTCCAAGAGAACATTGTAGATGTACTCAGAGAAGATAGCTTGTTATCAGAAAGCCAAAAATTGTGTCACATAATGCACTCCTAATTCGTAAGTTCCATCCAAAGGTTATCTTCTTCTAACTAAGGGATTCATGTTCACCCAGTAGGAGGACTCCTTTGGTGTACCTCCATGTGTGAAACTGTGTTTATTATTTATTCCAAACACACACACACACTAATGTATCCTACAAGAATTGATCACGTTTTCAGTTTCTTGGTGCTAATGTAATTCTCTGTTTGCAGAATGTTGCAAGAGACGCAGATATCAACAGCCTCAAAGCTGGAGGAAGCTGAACACAAACTGCAGACATTACAAACAGGTTGGCTGGTCTCCACCTTCTATGACTGATAATGATGGAGAAAAATAAGGGAGTGGGTAGGCTTGGAAGTTCATCCATGCAAGGGTTGCTTCAACTTTTCAGCCTGGAGCATCTGTAATACTAATACATTTTGAAACTGGTATAGAAGCTGGTCGATCAGTGTTCATTAAAAATGAGCTAAAAATCATATTCTACAATCATTCCTATTAAAATCTAAAAAGAATTCAAATGAGGAAGGAGAATTGGGGATGAGAGCATTTGGATCCACAGCACATTGCTTATCTTTTAGGCGTGACTTAAGAACTATTAAGAACCATTCCCCAGCATACTGGCTGGGGAATTCTGGGAATTGAAGTCTGCTCATCTTCAAGTTGCCAAGCTTGAGAAGACACTGCTGTAGACTTTAGCAGGGATGCTCATCAACATTTCTAGCCACTCCATATGAACAGCCAAACTTTTTAAGCAGCTGATGCCAACTACTGATTTGATGGAACTAAAGTGGTTCAAATGTCTAGGCCTTAAATGTCATTGAAACAACTTGACCTATCTTTTTGCAGAGTGGGAGTCATTCTCTTTTCTGCATTCCCAACTGAAATCTTTATGCTGATCTGTGGATGCTTTTGGGGCCAAATATGGATGTTACAGCATTGTGTATGTGTGTGTGTGTGTTGCATCCTATATATGGAAAGAATTTAAGGAAATTATTCCCACATCAGCAAAAATATGTGTGAATGTCCATTCAGTAGCAGCAAATATAAATTTCTTAGTAATGTAATGGTGGTCAGGACTGACAGCCAAAAGTTGTGGTCTTAGGTAAGTAAGCACTTGGGATCCTTGGAGCCATTAATGGCTTCAGATGGAGAGAAATGCTTTATAACAGTATCTGTCTCATCTCAGGATCACAGAGAAGCTTGGAGTGAGGTGGAGAAGTTCTCTGACTTTGCCCTGACTAGATGCAGTAGACTGATTTTTCATTCACAAAAGAAATGAATGCCTTTTCTCCTGCTCATCTCTTTCTATCAGAGCTTCTCTCTAGCTTATCACCTTATGCTCATTACCAGAGCTGCGCTTCTGTCCCCATTACCTTCCCACTCGAAGTTGAAATAGGTCCCTAGATAACTGTGAACAAGGGGTTTAAGTCACAAGAACCCATCTGTAAATGGCATACAGTTTCACTAGATGAAGCAGAAAAAAGATCTAGAAACTTTCACCATTCGTGAAAAAGAATGGTGGTTGGCTTTGAATTCTTTGTGTGTCTGTGTGTATTTTCTAAAGAAAAGAATTCAAAAATGCTTTTAAGCATTGTTTTTCTGCAATGTGATTTTGTTTGGTCAGGGAGAAGGCTTAATGTAAGATGATTTTTCAGAAAGAGAACAGTTCATAGCTCAATAGTAATTGAGTTGCTGCTGTTACTTTTTTTAAAAAAAACAACCATTTCTTTTTTCTTTTCCATCCTTCAGCCTTGGAAAAAACACAGACAGAATTATTTGACCTGAAGACAAAATACGATGAGGAAATGACAGCAAAGTAAGATCTTTCAACTCTTCTTCAGCACATATGACTTGTGTTAACCTTCTGCTATCTCTGAGGGCAAGGGTAAATACAGATAGTCCTTGAGTTACAATAGTAATCGGACCCGGAATTTCTGTCACTAAATGATGTAGTCATACAGCATGATTTTATGTGATTGCATTGTTTAGCAACAGCAATCCTGGCACTCTCCATTGCTGTCATTAACCAAATCTCACTTGTCATTTGCCAAGGACCCATCCCAATCAAAGCCATTCCAGGCTTGGTTCATCACAGCCCCAAACCTCAGCTCTTCCAATTCTGGGAGTTAAAGTCCACATATTTTAAAATTGCCAGGGTTGAGAAAAAGTGATCTATGCGCAACCTTCTCCTGATTGATTGTCTGAGAAGAAACATGGATAAGGCCACTGAAATGTTTCCCCCCCCCCGAACCTCTCTTGAATTGGAAGCTGTGTGATGACATAAGTTATGCTATAGTAGAGAAAAAGTGGGAACCACTCAGAGAACCTTTACAGTTTCTGTAAAACAGGTGGCAGCCAAAACAGCTAACCCAGTTGGGCCATTTCCTGGCCCCATTTCATTTTACCCTGATCTTTGAGTTAACAATTCCCCCAGGAAAGCAATTCAGTGTGGCTCTATATTTGCTTGCTGATTTGCTTGTTGAGAGCAGCCTTTCCCAATGTGCTGGATGACGACTCAAATCATTGGCTATGTATGAGAGAGTGAGTGATGAGGCCTATTCTCTGGCACATCTGGAGGTTTGCACCATTTGTAGCCACTGTGTCTCTCCATCTGCCAGCCTTCAATAAAAGAAAAATTGATTGTGGTTTTAGTTCTTGAGTGCATAATGAATCTGAGGTAAAATTGTGTTTCGGGGTGGACTTGCATAATGGGAGAGTGTATTAGAAACGTCAGTGTTTGAAAGATGTTGTTCCCTTTCAGTTTTTTTTGTCAGAAATTGAGCAGACAGGTTCTTCAACGAGAGGAACAAAAGAAGCAGCTATCCTCCCAACAGGACAGCTGCAGCAGCAAAATGCCTAATTTCTATGAGCCCAGGCAGGGCAATGACACCAGGCCTATGTTAAACTCTTCTAAGAATCCTTTGCAGTATATAAGTATTTGGAAAGTATTCTTGGAAATTTTGCAAATGAGAAATTGTACTTTGGCCCTTTGTCAGCTGCAGGAATAAGAAGCTGATAGTGACTTTATCCCTTCTTTATGAGAAGCTGAGAGTAACTTTACCCCCACTCCACTTCTTTAAAATGTTCTTTATAGGATCAGTTCCAGTTTTGGGATTGGTATCCAGAACAGTTTCAGGTCAACCCATCCTCCATTTTGAGATTTGAGATTTAAACCAAAAAAATTAAAAAGTAGAGAAGATACAATGGCAAGGGGCTGGGCTGTTTTCTTAAACTGTTGTTTTACTATTCAGATGGAAAACTGCCAGGATTTTGAGGATTTATTTTTTTATAGGGACATTTCAAGATGCATTATCTCAGTTTTGCGAGCACCCTAGAGTACAAAGCAGAATGAAAATTCTGAACTCTGCTGTTGGGGAGACAATTTTTTAAAATGAAAATAATGATGTTGTGTGCAACTATGTGCAATTATATGGCACTTTAGAACATTTGGGGTGCACAATTTACAGCCCCCAAAACTTGGATATGGTTCCAAGAACCCTAAGCTGCTGACTAGTAATTTTAATGTTGCTCTGTGTGAATAATTAATAAGCAATATTAAGCCATATTTAATTTTTACATTCTGGGCTCATTCACCCACTTGTAGTACTATGGTCCCTGATCCCAAGCAGCTCTTGGGTCAAAAACGGTTCCGTGTGTGTATGTTTTTATATATAAATGTATATGTAAAAAAAACATAAGGCTAAGTCAATTTCTCATTGTCTGATGCTCTGTAGATTGTAGCTCCATGAGTTCTCACCCAGCATAAACTTTGGTTGGGAATTCAGAAAGGTATAATCACAACAGTTCTAAAGCACTACCAGGCTGGGGAATGCTGTTTCAAGCACATATGATGGCATTAGCTTACACTCTCTCCCTGTTTTAATTTTCAGGTTGTGTGAGGGCTGGGACAAGTTTTCATTGTCCATGTAACTTAGTAGCAAGTCATAAAAATAATAGATGATAACTTCAAAGAACAATAATAATAATGAAGAAGCTAAATAGCTCTGGAACATTAGAATTGAAACAGACAGGCACCTGTCACAATAATACCCCAGCCTTAACAATTGTTAATAAGAAAGGCAAAAAAATGTCTGGATAGTGGATGTGGCAATACCAGGAGAAGCAGAAGAGAAAGAACTGGAGAAGATAACAAAATACAAATAGAATGACTGGCAAAAGAAAGCAAAGATAGCACCAGTAGTAATAGGCTCCTTGGGTGCAATCCCAAAACAACTGGAGCACCATTGGCATTGATAAAATCACAATTGGTCAATTGCAAAAGGCAGCTTTACTTGGAATAACTTATATCAATGGTGGCGAACCTATGGCACGGGTGCCAGAGGCAGCACTCGGAGCCCTCTCTGTGGGCACGCACGCCGTTGCCCCAGCCCTGCCTCCCCCCACGGTCCCCTCCTCACCAGCAGCCCCCCTGGAGGAGAGTCGCCCCCGGGCAACAGGGACAAGACTCCGCCCTCGCACCCCATAGCGTGCAGATGATACTGCAGGGTGTGGGCAGAGGGCATGGCTGCCATGGTGCTACAGGGCTGCCTGGCAATCTGCAGCAGCAGGCCATGGAGGCAGTGCGTGACCCTGCAGGTGGGTGGGTGGGGGCGGAGCAGGCAGGGCGGGAGCAGGGTGGTGGTTTTTGGGCACCCGATCTCTAAAAGATTCGCCATCACTGACTTATATCATATGACAATACTTTTAACACCCTCAGACAACAATATCTGCCTATCTCAGGTCCTTGGGAAGGACTCCATAGCTGGATAAAAATGCCCAATCCAGTCTAAACATCTGGCTGACTGTGCAACCAACCAGTAATAATATTTTTGGTATCTTTGTTGATATATGCTAGCAATTAAGATTTTCACTGTTGTGCTAGGGCTAGGCCTTTGACCTTTTTAATCCCCAATTATGTTGAACATATTTTTTATCTCTTATTCAGTAAATCGATTTATGGCCTAAATATGCAGTATTAACTACTTAATAGAAAATATGTCCTTCTGCTCTTTATGGTGATGGTTAATTCTTAGTTATTTTGTTGTTATTATAAATACCTGCAAACAAAACCTTGCAACCCTTCCTTCCATCTCTTGAAATGAAGGTGTTAATGGCCAAAATAAAAATGGCTTTCTAGCATGTCAGCTGGGTTCTCAGAAGCTGAAATCGACAAGACACCATTAGTAAAGTTTTCCATGTGTAGGCTTGAAATAAAATGTAATTAGGGCTTTATGTGCAGAACAAGGGTCCATTGATGACTACAGCTGGTCTTTGTTTTCTTCTGTCACTGAGTGTGGGAGGTAAAAAAAAAAAGTGGTCCTCTTCATGTTTATTAATGCAGGATTCCTGAGACAAATGGCAAGCATAGTTTAATGTTTGTTGGAACATGGAGGGGCTTGCCAAAATAGTTGTGTAAGAAAATTTCAAGGTTTTCAAATTGCGGCTGTTTCTGAGTTAAAAAATTGGATGATGTGGAGCTGCATGTTTCCATATTAGAGGCAAGCTGAGCAGGAGAGAGAGAGTTAGCAGAAAGGGTGACTGTAGAGCAATGTTTCCCAACCGTGGCCAGTTGAAGATGTGTGGACTTCAACTTTCAAAATGCTGATTGGGGAATTCTGGGAGTTGAAGACTACATATTTTCAAGTAGCCAAAGGGCCAAAGTTGAGAAACCACTGGCTTAGAGGAACCGAGAGTGAGAAGGAGAGTTGGCACCAAATTGATGGGAAGGGTGGACCGGAGAGGGAGAGATATGGCTGATTTGATTTACAGACTATGAGCAGAGAAGGGGCAGAGCTGATCAAGTGACAATGAAATTTACAGGCAGAAGAATCTAGGTTTAAGCTTGGCATCTCAAGAAGTAATCAAGAAAAACTATTCTTTGGCTCAGACTTTGCAACATTTTACTTGGTCAGATTAGACAATATGCATCAGCGAGGGCAGGGATGCATGATCTGTTTTCCAAGCAAAACATCACGGATCAGGGATCAGCAACCTTTTCAATTAATGGCTAAAATTTTCAGTTCAAAGTTTTCTGAATGGCTGCCATTCAGTTACAAACCCTGCAGATTAAGGATGATCAGCATTTGCGTAAACCGTTCAGTCTCCCTATCTGCACTCATTCTAGAGAAGACAGCTCAATATTTGGAACACTTATCTTAACCGTGAATCTTTTTCATGAATTTTGTATGAAATAAATTCTCTTTCTTGTAGTGCTTTTACAGTGGTACCTCAGTACTCATCATACCGAGTACCAAAAATGACAAGTACCAAACAGATTTTTCCCATAAGGAATGATGTATTAGTCATCCAGCAACCAACATTGAAAAGTTGTAGCTTGCAGGTTGAGTACCAAACAAATCATGAGTACTGAGACAAATTTTTTTGCATTAAAATGCGTCAGATGAGTTTCAAAGCAGTTGTGTATCAAGATAACACTGTGTTTAGAATACTCCAGTACAATATTGAGGTTAATAACTGTTTCCTCTAGCTTGCCTAAAATGTTAGGACCTATCCATCGTTTAAACATCTGGAAGGGCTTCAGGTTTCTGCAGTCCAGAACAGGAGAACCTAGGTTTTCAATTCTGATTCAGAGACAAGTTAGTTGCAGGGTTCACACATCATAGCAAACCCATGTTACAGCAGCACCTGAAGAAAAGCACAAAGAAGGAGGACTTTATGAATATGATAAGAGGAAATAGGTTGTAAGCTAATCCACCAATAAGATTGTGACTTATCACATCTACAATTTGAGCTGTAGAGATTAAATCTATTTTACATAGCTTATCTGAGTGAACTGGCTCAACAAGCTATTTGTAG